TATGGCCACTAACCAGATAACTCCTTTGTATCCATGTATGTTTGTAAATATGTCTGTCTGTCTGTCTGTCTGTATGTATGTATGTATGTATGAATGTAATGTTATGTAATGTGGTGTAATGTTATGTCACATTAAGTCGTGTAATGTTATGTTATGTTACATCATGTATGTCTGTATGTCTGTATGTATGTATGAATGTAATGTTATGTAATGTGGTGTAATGTTATGTCACATTAAGTCGTGTAATGTTATGTTATGTTACATCATGTATGTCTGTATGTATGTATGTATGTATGTGATGTAATGTTTTTTTCACACTAAGTCATATAATGTTATGTTATGTTACATCATGTATGTCTGTATGTATGTATGTATGTATGTGCGTATGTCTGTGTGTATGTATGTATGTATGTGTGTATGTATGTATGTATGTATGTATGTATGTATGTATGTATGTATGTATGTATGTATGTATGTATGTATGTATGTATGTATGTATGTATGTACTTATGTACTGTATGTATGTATGTATGTATGTATGTATGTATGTATGTATGTATGTATGTATGTATGTATGTATGTATGTATGTATGTATGTATGTATGTATGTATGTATGATAGATATATAGATAGAGAGATAGATAGAGAGATAGATAGATAAATATATATATAGATAGATGGATAGATAGATAGATAGATAGATAGAGAGATAGAAGGATATAGATAGATAGATAGATAAATAAACAAATAGATGGATAGGTAGATAGACAGATAGAAGCATCGATCGATAAATAGATAGATCGATAGCTAAATAGATCGATAAAAAGATAGATAGATAGATAGATAGATAGATCGATAGGTAGATAGATAGATACATAGAAGGATAGATAGATAAATAGATACATAGATAGACAACTAAATAGATAGATACATGGATAGATAGATGGATAAGGAGGTAAGTACATAGTCAGAGAAAAAGAAAGAAAGAGATGCGGACCAGGGGGGAATCGAATGGGGGGGGGCCCCCCCCCTAAGTCTCCGTTCGTGACTCTCGGCTCTCAATTTCCGGGAAAGGAGCACCCACCTCCCCCAGTACTAAACTAGTACTAAAGTACATAGAACTCAGGTAGCCTAGGCTACCTTTCGTGATTTTGCAAAGGCATAGGGGTTAAGCTCTTCTCAAACAAGGAATGCGCTCACGCAATATCTACGTTTTGCTCATTGCAGCAAGGACCGGAAGCTGGCTGTTTCCACCAACCTTGTCATGTCCACCGTTGTCGTCGGCTGTCACCTGTTTGGTTGAAATCATGTTCATCAAAACGAGTTTGCGAACTGCTGGATTTGGAAAAGAGATCTGAAAAATTGCCAGGTACATGGCATCAAGGGGCCTCAGTGCCCTGACTCATCTAGGGGCAGGTCATTTCGGACAAAATCTCAAACATAATTTCAAAAGAGGTATAATAACTCTAAACCGGGTGACACCAACTCGCCGTATGCGCTGGCTTTGGCGCTGGCCCTCTTCGAGAAGCGTGGTGTAGTCGACATTGTACCTTCTGTCAAGTGGAAGATAGTACGTCGTCACCGTAGTCTAATTGGCCAGAATTAGTGAGTTGCTTCACAAGCCAAAGGTCACTGTACAACAAGTCCCAGTAAAGACTGACATCTTACTCTGAAACATCCATGCCACTGTGCAGACCTGTCTTTCTCTAAGTTCCGAGCAGGAAATCCTTCCCGTGGATCTGCGAGCGCACCTCCTTAGATATCATACAGGTGGATTCAGGTGGATATGGCTGGAACAGATTTTGGTTCCGCGATGACACGTGCGTCCTTCACTAATTCATCCACTGCTTGCAGGTGAAACTGAATGGAAACCAGTTCTGATGGCTATTGCCTCCATGCATCGCTGGGATTTTGAAGCCAGTTCTGATAGGCCGCTTCCAGCAGAAATGAAACTTTTGGAGAGAAGCCCAGCCAATGATCCCCTTCCTCAAACTCCCAGTAGGCCTCGACACAGCTATTGCAGCAGCTCACTACAGTACAACAACAAACGACAGCTCGCTTTGAATCTCTCTCATTGGCAAAGCAGTTTCGACCTGTTATGGTGATTTTTTTGTCCCAGCATGTAAATATCCATGTTGTCCCTCAAGTATGGCAAAAAGCCACACAAATCTCACCTTTAGGTTTGACCCCAGGATTGCCCCACCAACCTGATCCTACTGCGATTCTGTGCCTTGACCAAAGTCCGGCTCTGCTCGAGTTGCCGGGGTTGTCTAGCACCACTGGAAGGGCCCTTCGATGCCGAAGCTGGTGCATAAGCCAGGCAGTAAGGGCAGCTCATGCGATCAGAATAGAAAAGGGTACAGAGGAGACAGAGGGTACAAAGGGTACAAAGGGTCTAAGTTTTTTGTTTGCGTCTTGTCATAAATCGTGCAAGAGTAAAAAGAGCTGCAGGCCCAGGAGAGCAATTCCAGAATACGCTGCATGTTGCGCTTGCTTTTGCTAGCAATGTCTGAACAAAATCAATAAGAGTTCTTCTTTGGAGCCAAATGGCACTGGCCAGAACAGACAAACATTTAGAGGCTCAGTTGGCTTCTTTGCCCTTTTGGGATTCCAGACTGGATCAAAACTTGGATGACCTGGTGTGCCTTCTGGTCACAAGCTTGGATATCTGTGGGACAAAAGCAAGTTGAGTCAGTTGACACAAAGGACATCAAAATCATCAAACCTGGTGGGAAACCTTCAATCGGCGACCCTCGGCGACCCTCGGCGACCCTCGGAGATCTCGAAGCCTCGTCTTTTTCCGTTTCGCATGCGTCCGTGGCTCCACCTCTTCGCGGCGTCCGTTGCGCCTCTTTGGGACGTCCGAATGGACTGGGGAGTCCTCAGCACTAGAGCAGATGGCGTCCCTCGCCGCCGATCCGGTAAAAAAAACGAGTTGTGATGGATCTTGATATCAAAATATATCAAAAAATATCAAATAATTTCACCCTTGTCATGTGTTGGTTCTTACCCTCGAATTCCAGTTCAGCATGGTCTTGTGCTGCAACATATACCAGACTACAAGCTGTCCTAGGCTGATTTTGAGCCACGTGAGCATGCAACCTTTGGACTCTCACACCAGCAAGTATGTATGTATGTGTGTATATATATATATATACTGACAAATTACTGTTATATAGTATCTCCCGGCTTCAAATCACATGAAGATATTGCAGGAAGCGTGCTCAAGCCAGCTGATGTTGGCGCTGCTGTTCACGAAGAAAGTTGAGAAGCATTGAAATATGTATATTGTGATATAATATTGTATAATCCAAAGCGATTGTGTAGCATCTGCTCTGTGCTTTGCAAACGTCGATTGGCAGCTATTGAAGCGGCCCCCTACTGTGTCCTGGGGTATCTCCTGAAACTGGCTGCCTGGTTGCTTTGCCTTTGGCAGTCACAGGCTCTACCAGCATCCAAAAGAGCAAAATAGCCCATCAAGTGTTGCTCTCTGCTAATGCGCGTGAATGTGTTTGTTCAACCAACTCAGAGTTTACTGGATCAAACCTCAATGACTTTTCCAATCAGGAGGTACTTGCTCTAAGGCAGTTGTTCAAGGAAATGCCTCACTTCTAGGCATTCCTATCCCAGAGGAGCCGTCTCGTGCGGCAAGGAAACTGAAAACCTGAAAAGATCCACGTGATGTTCTCTCATACAGTCTCTGCAACTGCAGTCCCTGCCTTCCTGAGGTCCTTGTTTCCATCGGATATAACACTTTTAATGTACTAATAGACTGTGACCTTCAAAAATGTCTGGCTAACCCACTGCAAGGTCTGCTGTGCAGAAGTTGCATGCAAAGAAATCCATTGGGCCACCCCTGGTAATTAATACAGCTCTTCTTCTTATCATATCATACTGGATGATTACAAAGTCTTGCTGCTAGTGCATTTGATTGCAGGCCAGCTGCAGCTGAAAGGTTAAAGATTCATGGACTTACCATCGGGTGTTTCCTGGACGTTGCCAGAACCTTGTCATCTGTCAATCGTCGTGCCCTTTGAGCTTGGAGTCATACCCTATACCTCACTATTCTGCCGTCCATGCAGCTGCAATTCTCTGGTGTGCGTGTGTGTATGTGTGTGTGTCATTGTTACAGCATCCACTGACGCAGGATGTAGGCGCGATCAAAAGATTTATCAATGCGATTGAAGTCCGTGTAAACTTACTTGCAAACTGTGTGCGGAAAAAGGACGTGTATTGGCGCTGCGCGGCAGCATGTCACATTGGCCGTGGCACTTTGTGCTGACTAAGACTTGTCGGACACGGGCACAGTAGGTGTCCCTAGTCTAACAAATCAGAGGTGACTCTGTGCATCTCAAGCAGATACGCGGCCTTTGGTCTTTGGGTCGGGGAAGGACTCAAAGTTGCCTGCGCCATGGGGATGGTCCATGATGGTCCATGATGGTCCATGATGTCCAATTACCATCAATTACCCAACTAGCCAATTACCGAACCAAGTTGGACCCTGGAGATGCAGCTGCCTCCCTCGTCGAACAAGCGAAGCTCGGTCAACACGATGGGGCTGTCAATGCCCTGCAAGTTTAGGAGACATGAGGGAGATATGTGGATATGCGGTCAAAACTGGGGGGCCCTAGAATTACATCGTCTTATAATACTCAAAATGGAAATAAAAACTTGTCCCCTGGCCAGTGGTGCACATGCTTAAGAGATGTTTGTGTTGAAAAAGTTCCCTTCGTCACTTCGTCCATTTCTCCTTTCCAGCTGCATCAACACTAGCAGCATCATTATCATCTCTGACAATCACCCACAACAATCACAGCCACTTTCACAATCCTCACCATCATCACCCCCACCACCATCTCACTGGTGTAAATCAGCGAAACAATCATTGTTCACTGGATCCGGTTCATTATGTGGAAATGTCTTGAAGCTATTGTCCAACACCATTGTGACGACGATCAACCCCAGCTTCCCTGACGTTTGAAATATAGCCGACCACATCTGGCCTTGAGTGCAAAAGCACCTAAACGCTGAAGAGACCAACCTGGAAATGCAGCCAGGCTGCAAATCATCACATCGGAAGAGCCATTTGCCAAAGGGTCCAAAAGCAGTCCAGGGCCAGTGACAAGCCTATATGTCAGATTCCGAGTCAGAACAGTCACAATCCTTACAAAGGGGTCCCAAAATGTGTCTGAAATAATTCTACCGAGTTCTACCTACCTGTATTTCAACCCGATTCCAACCCCCTTCCACAAGCCTGGCGCGCCAGCTGGAGCATTGGGAAGTGACCCAGGCGCCGGCCGGCCCGGCGCAGGTGCGCCCTGTGGCTGCACCATGGGGTGCTGCACAGGCTGCCCAGGCTGACCCACCTTCCATCCTGTGATGCCAGGATACCTGCAGCGTCAATCTTGACTTCGGGGGGCTACCTCTGCATAGAACCACTACTGATACCAAAAACTGTCCCAAGTGAGGCCAAAAAAATGAAATGCAGGCGCGTTATACCATGTGTTTGGTGACCAATGCCCCACCTGGGAAGAACATAAGTAGTTGTCCATACAAAAGCTGAGAATACGGACACCTCGTCAAAAATGACACTCTTCCACATGGCCAAGATGCAGCAGAGAGGGTGCAGCCGCCGTCGCCACAGGTGGTTGTGGCATCGCGGGCTGTGAGGCTAGAGTTGGCTGTGAAACCATTTGAGGATAGCCTCAGGGCAACAAACTCAGTACTTCGTTTAAAAAAAAACATATTTCAAGACAACTGCCTTTGGTGGACTTGAGTTGAAGGTTTCGGTCTCGTTTTTTCATATTGGCGCTCATGAACTACACAAGGCTTGCAACCAGAATCTTGGAATCGTTCCTCTTGTGTAGTGACTGGAAGAAGTCCGGACCACTTGAGACGCAATAGCGGTTTACAAATTTACAAATCAAAATTTTGGAAATAAAAAATTAAATATGAATGCCATATGGACAAACATCAAGTTGTTACAGTAAATACAATCACCCCGGCAGCCACACCTGGCAAGGCTGGAGGCTGCTGCCATTGCAGCCCTGGTAGTCGGCTCGTGGCCGCAGGGTCTATGGGTGTGTCACCACCCAACAGCACCTTGGTCAAGCAGTCTAGGAAGAAGTCAAGGTGATCAAATCGGTCAAAATTGATATCAATTTGCAGTTACAGCAACCTTACAATGACAGCGTGGTGCCAAGATCATGCACAACCGAGCAGTTTCTCACGTGCCCGCCCCACACCACAACCGATCATTCAACAGCAACCTGCCTGTCCAGGGTGAGCAGCGGCTGCAATGCGAGCAGTTCGGTTCACTATGGTGCCGAAGTAATCTGCCTGCAATGAATATCGCAAAGTTCATTAATTAACGTCATTGAGGATGAGTCAAGCACGAGACACTCTTCACACTTCGCAGAGCAAGAATATGCGAGAGCGGGTTCACCAGCAAGTTTAACGATGTGTCGTATCAATGCGAGGGTGCGAGGCACAGAGTCAGAGGGTTGTAATATCCAATGTCAAACATCAATAGCATATAGCTCATATACAACAATAGTAATACATAGTAATACACTAGTCTGGGTAAAATCTCATATTTCACTAACCTGAAATAAGGCCTTATTAACCATCATTCCTGTGAGGTTCCGCTCCACTTCAGCCCGGAAACTCGTCCAGTTGAGGCATGCGGTCTCCTGGACGTGTAGCCACCAGAGAGCGCCTCAGGTCGCGTGACAAGGTGGTGACATCTGAAGGCAGGCCAGTTGAAACACATTGGCAACGTGCATAACAGCAACAAACCTCCAACTGGAAATGGCTGATACATGCTGATATTAGTCTTTGTTAGTTTGCACTCCATGCAACCTTTGCCATAGCATGTTTTGCACCTGCCAGGTCTGTCTTGCACTTTTGCTAAGGTGTTTATACATGTGGCCATACCGGCCCAATTGCCACTTGCCCACTCAGGGTGGGAAACTTTCTGACCGCCAATACATGGCTGCGCTGTCTGCGCTTTGAAAAGGGCGCTGCTTCCGCAACTTGGCTGTGGACTTCGTGTGCTGCAGCTAGAGACTTGGTTTGGACCTCTGCACCAATCTCACATTGGTAGCGGAGCGCTGCCTGATCCTTGGAGCTTTGGTTCTTGGACTTCTAGCTCTACTGGGTCCTGGCTGTGGAGCGCTTCGGAAAGAACTCCTGGTCGAGCTCTACTGTTTGATCAACCCTAAGGGCATAGACCAGCTCACCTTTTTTGGAGTTCACCTTGGACGTTGTGGAGTATGGCTTCGGGATCTGCTAAGCAGGAAACCTCAGCTGATGCTACCACCCGTGACAGTTTCATCCCCTTGTTTTCGGGCCAACCTGCCGACTACAAGGAGTGGCGGAAAAGGATCCACATCTACTACAGGAAGATGGGATTGACGAAAAGGCATGGAGAAGCCGTGCTGAACATCATCGGCAGTCTTCAAGGTTCGGCATGGAGACTTGTGGAAGATTTCAATTTGGATGAATGTGAAAAGGAATCTGCCTTCGAGAGCATCATCAAGCTCTTAGATGGTCACTTTGAGTATGATACCAGAGTGCAGTTGCCCAGCGACTTTGATGGCTACTTTGGACTTCAGAGAAAGCCTGGTCAGACGCTGTTGGCCTATGTCAGCGACCATGCGGAGCTGCACAAGAAACTGGAGAAACATGGTGTCAGCCTTCCGACAGCAGTACAAGGATGGCACCTACTTCGGAAAAGTGGCCTCACCAAAGAACAAAGGCAACTTGTCAATTTGAGGGCACCGCAACTCGAGCTGACAAAAGTTGTAGAAGCTATGTACCTGATTTTGGGTCAGGACTACAAGCTTGGAGCTGCCCCGGCTGGACATGACCGCCGATGGCACCGTGGAAAAGGTGGTCGAGCCTACTTTGGTGATGAGCTGGACGATGATGGCGACGCTGATGATTGGGATTGGGACTCACAGTCCTACTATGATGCCTACTGGGAATGGGATGACAATGCCAGCTTCGATGAACAAGGCTTCGATGATGACGCCGCCTACTACCAGACTGGTGACTGGGAAGCTGAATCGACCCTTCCTGATGATGGCACTACGTCGACCTTCGATGTGGCCTCATGGGATGATGCCTATGCAGCCTACCTGGATGCAAGGAAAAGGTTCAATGACCTGAAGTTGAGCCGTGGCTACTTGCCCATTGTTGCCCTTCAGGACTCCAACTTGCAGCCTGGCACTTCCTCGCCTTCAAGGAGTTCTGGCGGTGGATCGCCCAAGGGCAAGAAGGGCAAGGGAAAATCGAAAGGTGGTAAGCCCAACATGTACAAGTACGACAAGGCGCCTATGAAACCTGCACAACCACAACAACGAGCCCAAGCTGCCCTGCAATGCCTTCGATGTGGCCAGAAAGGGCATTTTGCCGCAAACTGCCCTGTCAACAACCAGAAGAGCAGCCCCAACAAGAGACCTGCTCCTGCCACTGAGTCGATGGCAAAGCATGCCGAGGGAGCCCTGGTGACCTTCATGGACAAACATGGGCATGAGCGCACCGATGTTGCGATGCTTGACCCTGGTGCCTCAGCTTTCCTTTGTGGATATGGACCCATGGGCAGGTACCTCAAACACCTGCAACAACTTGGCTACCCTGTGGAAACCATTTTGTTTTACCGTTGTGATCGGAAATTTCATTTTGGAGGAGACGCTGAAAGCGTAGCCAAGTGGGTCGCCAGAATGCCGATGTTTGTGAATGGCCTCTACGGTTTTGCCCAGGTTTTCATGGTCCCTGGTGAAACGCCTATGTTGTGTGGCCGGCCAATCATACAACAACTTGGCATAGCTTTGGACTTTTCTTCTGAGAAGATCAGGTATGGTGATGGTCAATGGATGCCTGCGCTGATGGGTCTGCATGGAGAGTACCTGCTACCTCTCTCCATGGACTTTGAGATTTTCCATGCAGCCCTTGAGCCCCACTTTGACTTGCAGTTGGCCTCACCTGGCGAGGTGGACTTGAATCCTCGCACCTTCCTGGAGTTCAACGGTGAAGAGATGATTTTTCAAGCTCATGACCATGGCGATGAATGGATTTTACCTGGCACAGTCAAGTGCCAACGGCATCTTTTTCAAACCATGGATGCCCGCCTGACTGAGGAGCTCAATGACATGCATGGCTACATCACCTCCGAGCTTCATGCTGGTGATCGTGGTCGAGTGATTTGGGAAGTTTATGGTGGTCGCAGCCGCATGGCACAGATCGCCGAGAGCCTTGGAGCCACTGTGAGGGTGTTTTCTCTCGACACTGGTTGGGATTTTGATCAACCTGCTCACCAACGTGCGTTCTTGGCCTTGCAGGAGAAAGAGGTCCCTGACGAGATCTACCTTTCACCAACTTGTGGACCCTGGTCACTGATGCAAGGACTTGCAGCACGAACACCTGAACAACAGCAACAACTACGTGAACTTCGAGAGGGGCATCATCAAGTTCATCTTTGTTTTTGCAAAAAGGTGTACCTCAAGCAGATCAAGCAGGGTGGTCACGCCCATCTGGAACAACCTGCCTACGCTCGATCGTGGCGTACCAGTGCTCTTTCAAATCTTCCTGGACTCTACTGCAGATTTGACCAATGCCAATATGGTTGCACCTGCCAAGACACCGACTTGGTATGGAGGTTGGTTCAAAAGCCAACTGGTCTGCAGACCACAAAGATGGCCGTGTACAAGGAGTTCCAACGGCGATGTGCTGGTGATCATCAACACTGCCGGCTTGAAGGAAGCGGTCCTGATGTTGGACGTCGGACGCGATACCTCGAGCACTACCAGCCCACTTTAGCTTCCACACTGGCTGCCTGCCTGATGATGGATGAGTTGCCAACCATCTCTGACTTTGTTGGAGCCGCTGACGATGAAAAGAAACATGTTGGCCGCATCATCCAGTTGCTCACCAACAGCCGCCAAGAAGCTGTTCGATGCGTTCAACGTTTGCATCGGAACTTGGGACACCCGTCCATGGAGGCTTTGGTGGAAA